AAACCCTAATAGATTAGAGTTGATTAGGCGCACACATGATTGGACGCACGAAAAGGTAAGTTTGTGCTGTCTAGGGTTTCCTATATTAAAATTTATACTTCAGAGATGGACACAAGCTCTCCACAGAGTGGTGATCCCAATACCCCCAGAATGAATATTATTATCGGCGTGTATGGAGAATGAAAATCACACTCATACGGGAAACTGAGTTCACTCCGATTCATCCTCTCCATTGGTATCAAGATTTTCAGTGTTTTACCGTTACTTTCAGCTGCCCTCGAGTTGAGTACCATAGGCAAAATATAAAACTCAAAAAATAGAATGATAAACGTGAAGGTGCTCCTCAGTGAGGCTATAGAGACTGAAATTGGACAGCGGAAACATTTAGGTCAAGTTGACCAGTTTGGGAGTACCCTCTCTCTAAGTAAGACAGTCCCACCAAAAAGTATCGCGAATTATCGATGAATAATCGACTCCCCAACCAACGTCGTAAGGGAATATCAGTGTCGATGGCTGATCACTACGTTCGTTTCCAGGCTTGACAGAGTGGGCCCGGACAATGCTAGATGCAAAACCGGGGCCTTCGAGAATTGGAGAGCATGAACTAACAGAAGTACATTGCAATTTTCAGGTATGTCTAACCCAGAGAGACGGACCTAAAGGGCCGGATTCGGCTTTAAATCATAGAATCTCCAAGTAAGCTCAAGCCCCAAGCCAAACTACCCAGTAACTAGCAACATGTCTACTACAGAAATGTTTTCTAATCTAAAACCGCACGCATCATATGACAATGAGTCAAATGTACTCACATTTGCAAAAATATCTGACACGCACTATATGTTGCGGTTATATTGTGACGGGAGACGGTATTTCGCTTACCTTAAAAAAAGCGATCGTTCTAGTAATAAGGAATTCAGCGCACAACTCGCAATCAACTGACTACCGCTGTGTACCGTAAACGAATTCCGACATAACGAAAGAACCCAATCCGCTCAAAAAGCCATCACATTCATGCAAATCACGTGAGTCGCTGAGCATCTGCAAATAATCAGTAACGAAACGGCTGCACGAATACAGACACTGAATTTCCGACGTGGCCCCGGAATTCGCTACACATCGCATTCGATTGATGTAATGTGGATAGGCATCGGGTGTTTTTGAATCTGTAACACACCTATCAATTTAGCTGATCGACATAGAAAGCTGCGAAATCAATCGATTTGAGTAGGGCCAAAAAAGCGAACTCACATAAGGCGGATACTCATATATCCTGTTTCTAGTTTGAAACACCTGCGTCTCAGGATCGTAAATATGCGTCAGGCTCATCGAGACCGTTGAAACCTTATATTTTAAGTGCGAATCGCCGGCTTGCGAGAAGCGCTGATACAATGTAGAGCACCATCATATAAAACACAACACCTCAAAGCAGATACTGCACTCGAATGGTTAACAAATTGCTCCTGCTTGAAGTCTATTTTACCGAAGGACTGAATCTTCTCAAGACCAAGGCAGAACCAAAATAACCTAACCGACGAGCAATTCACGGAAGTGAAGTTTTTTTGTCACAAGAACGTGTATGTACCACGACGAATGAAATGCTATCGGGTTGACCAAACCCATACAGACGTAGTCTGGACGTTAAGAAAGCAAACGAACCAGTTAATAGCCTGTACCTGAACCTTCACACAATTTGGATCTCCAAGATATTCAACGGATTCACAACACGTTGTTAACTTGACAGACAATCCGCTTTGAAACTGTCCGGTAACTAGTGCACGGAAACCCAAATGACCACGAACTGATGTGTATTACGGGAGCTGCTAGAAGACCTATAATCATAAAAATAGTTTAAACACCAAAATCAACTGATAGTATGTCACGTGGAAATAAAAGTCCCTCTATTAAGTCATTATCTTCCAAGCATAGAGTAATCGCAGTTAAAAGTTTGAGTCTGACGTATCATCAGGATACAAAAAGAATAGCCGTCCTGAACTTGTCAACAAAGCGAAAAAAATTGCTTTTTAACAATGGTATATGGATCACCAAGTGCACGTATCAGGCTTAACTTCAGTGGCAACGTTTAGAGGTTAGGCTCGAAAGCAGGACTAGTACACTGGCAATCGACTGAGGTTCGATTCCCTATTGCTCCGGAGGGTGCCTACTATGAATGTGCTGGCGAGCAACACGACACCAAAGGGCGCGATACTGAATGTTGAATGAATCCGAGAATAATGGAGAACCGAAAGTCGCCCACGAAACATAAAATATCATTAAGGTACTCACAAAATCTGAATTCCTATGGAGGTAAGTTGTCCGGTGGGGTACAATCCAAGGAAAACACTGTGATTCAAAGAATTTAAGCTTTTAAAATCTTGGAACTAGATTAATACTGTAGGTAGTGACTCTCAGCCAGATTAACCGATGTCATGTCAGTTAGGTCATTCGAAAGTTCAGAGATAAAATGCAGTGTCTATCAAGAGACGGGCACCAATGCAATAAAAATAAATTTGCAGGAAGAGCAAAGCTTTGTGTCACTTCACCCCATATGGTAGCTTCCCCGCTACTAAGTATCATGAGTAAGGGCAATGACAACACACCATTACGCAGTTTGACGGGCCTAACATGCATTTAGGTGCAAAGTGGAACGAAGGCAAATTAGTAAAGCGTGAGTCACGTGAGCAATAGCAGGCGGATTCGTTGCTTTGTATATTCAGGATTTCGCTCCAAAAGTGTGGGTTTTCTTTTAAGCAACCTGTAAGTTACCTGCGTACAGAAGATATACTTTCGAACAATCGTTCCGCTGAATGCATATCATAAAATAACGAGTCGAAAATTTACCTTTTACAAAAAACTCTACCTAGCTAAACTAAGTTGAGTAAACTCCGTGATGACCAACAAAAATAAAACGACGGAAGAATGAAAATAAGTCATTTTCATAGGTTGAGAAGAGACGGCACTCACTGAATGAATATTCTTTTGAGTCGGCACCAAACCCCCAAAATCGCAGAATCGAATTTTCCGGTGATCGAGTACACCTCCCATCCATACAGTAGCCCGTAGTACATGGTCGATAATTTTCTAGATGAAGATACACTTGCTGGTTTGATGAACCGGATGTTTGAACTGACTCAAGCATTTGGTTGGTTTTCGGAACAAAAGAATAACGTCCTTCGGAACGATCAAACGTGCCGTTCGTGGAGTAAAGGGTGATAGGTCTGCATGTATACGAATTGGAATTGGCGAGGGGAAACAGGCAGCAGATGTAGCACGACTGGTCAGCTGTGAAAGTAAAGAACATAACATACTGCAATTGCTTGAGTTTGATGAGAATAGCTGCTCGTACTAGATAAAGAATCCTTGTTAAGGTGGAGGTAGGGTTGGTACCCTACAGGACAATGGTGAAACTACCTTTAAAAGAAGTTGGCAGGCCCAGAATGAATCAGTGCAAAGGAGAAATACTATAAGCGAGAAGAACGGGTTGGCTTAGTTGACTCAGGACGGATCAAAAAGCATGACCCAGCAGATGACCTGGCTGGTCTGTCCGACTAATTGGAATGTGCTTAACGTATCCTGAAAACGGTTTCAGGAGAAAGAATCGACTTGAAAGATCATGCGTTTCACGCATCATTATTATTCAAGGTGCGCGAGAAATACAGATCTATAGTGTACGTCGGACTAAGCAGCAATTTTAGTATTCAAACGTCATTTGCAAGACATATTCCTTCTGGAAATCAGTGACGCCAAGTACTAGTCTGAGGAGTCTTTTACAGGAAAGTTTCAACATCCCACACACTCGGAAGTAATTAAAAGGGCAGAGAGTCGAATTCCGCCAGCCATGGCGGGCGTTCCTTGTAACTGATGACTCACTAATTCTCTGGATTAATGCAGCTCCAAAAAGGGCGAAACCAGTGGTGGGTTGTCAAAGGATTCTCAGCGACCTTATGAGTAGTATTCCATCAGGAAAATATGGTGCAGTTTCGCCTATGCTTAAGCAATTTATCCTGGGATAGTAGTCAACACATATCGAAGCCTACAGTCCGTCTAGAATAGGTGTTATGACCACGTTTCCAAAGTAAGGCACCCTGAACGGACAAGGACACATGAAATACGAATGATCTAAATGTATAACCGTGACTCAACGACATACATGTCCAACGGTACGGTGCCGAAACATACTGGAGTTTCCGGCGTGCTATCAAAGCGGAGTTGGTTTTGATGTCTGGTCCGGGTGTTTTGAACAACCAACACGTCGTACATCACACCATCGCATTTGAGCAGTATACAACCTGTAATCCGTTCATCGAGTCCCCGGGCGATAATCACGGTAATCATGATAATCATGGGTATTCCCACCTTGAATGGAGCTCTAGCGGACACCGGTATGGACCTTGGACCGGGAGACTGTTTCGACAACATGGAAGGATGCACGATTCTCAGCTTACGACCCATGAGTGCCTCTGCGGGTGAATGGTAGTTCACCAAAGCATCATTTGGGGTCGTTCAGTACACAAACAGGAATCGCTCAAGGGCTTCGACGGATATCTCCCCCCCTCGAGCTCTATACAAAGCTCTCTCAAATGCATCGACAAGCCTTTCTGCTTGACCATTCAATTTCGCACGGTACGGTGGTGAACGAAAGTGTTTTATAGCATGTCGAGTGCAAAACTCGCGGAGCTCAGTGGAGGTGAACTGCGAACGATTGTCTGAGACGATGGACTCCGGTGAGCCATGCTGGCTGAAAATACTGGATAACACACGCAGCGTACTGTACGTCGCTGGAGAGGACACCGCAATGATTTCCGACCACTTGAAAGAAGCGCCAGCCATAATCAAATAAGAAGAGTCATGATTCGGTCCTGCGTAATCAACGTGCACTCCAGACCAAGGCCAGGGAACCGATGGTTGATGTGGCGGGTTATTGGTAGCTTGTTGGCATAAGAAGCAGCATTCTACAAAACCAGTGATGTGCTGGTCCATGTGCGGCCAGTAAGCGTAATTTCGAGTTATTGACTTCATGCGGTTTACTCCTAGATGCCCAGAATGGAGCTGACGGAGGATTTGATGGCGTAAAGATTAAGGAATCACTACGCGATCTCCAAACACTCAAGCAATTGTTTAAGACTGACAGTGCCATTCCGCGATGAAGGAGCTGTCGAAGGCAATCATCTTTGAGGTTCCAAGGTCATTAGGAATTCACGAATTCGATCGCCTTTTGAAGCGTCGGATCAGCCATGGTAGCTTTTCGAACCTCTGTTTTGGTCACGGGAAATGCAAGAACAGACTGGACTAACTGGGGGTCGGCTGCGCCATGCGCAATAAACGTGTCTTCTTCGGGAGTTGGATTAGTGCTGATAAGGCGAGATAATGCATCGGCCTGACCAAAGTCGGTGGTGCGACGATATTGAATATCATAGTCGTAGCCCAGCATGACAAGTGCCCATCTATGTAGGCGGTTGTCAGAGTGTGCGGGAACACCTTTCTTTGAACCCACAATAGAGTGTAATGGCCTATGATCAGTAACTAGGGTGAAAAGGGCGACCATACAACTTGTGGGAACGCCGGACTAATGCTGATGCTCTTTCCTCTATCACTGTTCTGCTGGCGTTGGTGATTTCGACGCGTGCATGGTGGCCTTCTCCGATCCGTCTGGGAAGGCATGCAGAATGACGGCACTAGCTCCAAAAGTAGACGTATCAGCTGCCACAGCTATCGGTAGTTTTGGGTCGTAGTGGATCAGCAGCGGATCGGAACTGAGCATCGCCCGCAGAATGCTCCCTCGCATTCTTCTGACCAACACCAGGGCACGTCATTTCCAAGCCATTCATTAAGTGGGGGTCGACTGTCGTGTGGCGAAGACAAGAATGCCGAATAATAGCTGATTAACCCTAAAAAGTAGCGTAATGGTGGGACATCCTTAGGAGGTGGAATCTGCTGTATAGCTCCAAAGTTCTCCGGGTCGGGATGACGACCAGAGGCATCGAAGATGAAACCAAGATACTTCACTGTTGTCAAGACGAATGGACACTTCTCAGGACGGTGGCAGAGGCCATTATCCTGAATACGCAGCAAGTCGGCACTGATTCCATCAAGAAGCTCTTCGGATACATTGCTAATCCAATGCAGTGATGGTGTTAGGGACCGTTGTTATAACACTTCACACCTGCCCCAATTGACCCAGCAACACAAACTAAGCAGCTAGGACAACTCATCCGCAAACTAGACTCTACACTGTTCAAAGACTCTCTGTCGCAAATACCAAGCTCAGAATGGCGCCGCCGCAGTGGAAGGCGAGCAGAAACCTGGCTGTTGACGGTCAAGGCCGACGTTGAGCTACTTGGTCTGCAGGTGCTCAACAAAGTCAAATAATCGAAAATAAAATGCATACGTTTGTGCTCGGACACTGTCGCACTGACAGCAGCGGTCCGTGATATTTATGGAGCCGACTCATTCTTCTCTGGGAGAGATCATCCTATGTAATAAGATCCATCGATGACACCCACTTCCAGAGATTGTCATGGACATGTACGTCATGAGTGGATTTGTTCAGTAATTCACCTGCACTACGACTTTGAAAAAGGAGGAGCGAATTTGGTGTAGCTACACGATGAACCATAAATAATAAGGGACCAAAATGACCCGTAAGGTATACAAACATACGGTCACAAACGTTAGTACAAGAATGACTTGGTGGTCCTGTGGGATATCCAGTCCTACTTGAAACCAAATGACACTAGGAACTGTGGTGATATTCGTTTGAACTTCCACCAACTTCCCTAACTATTTGTTTTCCACATATCTTCCCAAGTTCATTTCATTTAATGAATTTATTTACAAAAAACAAGGAAGTCGAAAAGTACGGAAAAGATCAGCAGTCTATTGAGTCTTTGTTGGTCACGGGAAGTTTATGAAGACATCACTTATCGTGCGGACCATTAACTAAGGTATTCGAAGTACAATTCATCCAACGAATCCGATGAGTGTTTGCATCAACAGTGGAAAATTGCATTTACACGTCAGCTGCACTGTTGGGTTTGCGCGCGGTCACCCTAATCACCCTTGGGGCAGCAATGCCTATTTTGCAGGTGTTAAGTAGATTCCTCATCTAATTATACGAGGTAAATTTTGAGTCGGGTTCATTACCGTATGCTTGCGGCGACGCTTCGTGCCATATGCGGTGGACAAGTGCTTGCAGCCAACATGTCATCGTTGTTAGAGTTCCATCGCCTTCAATGTGTTACTGGACTTATCAACCCCTTAGCTATTAGTGCACAAGTCTGTGAGGTAGCAATAGCATGCATTATCCACACCCGACATGTGATGGTGATTAGGTTTTCATTCACCTCTGTATCAAGGGTGACCACGAGCAAACCCGTCAGCTGGCGTGTAAATGCATTTTTCTACAGTTTCATGACAATGGACCGAAGGCAGTGGTTGAAAACTCGGACCAGTTACGACCAGATGTATGCTCGTTCGGTTGGCCAAAAGCAAGTGATCTGCAAGGAATGGCAGATTATTTGTGAAATGCTTTCCTCGCTCGGCATACCGCACAGCTATTCAGGTATGGCAGAATAAAGGAAGCAAGCCGCTGGACGTGATCCTTCTCTCAACTTGGAGGAACTATCACATGGCATGGAATAAACTATGGTGGCGATAAAAAAACAAGAAACAGGGTGGACTTACTAGTTTGGAGGAGTACCTACAGAAAAAATAAGTGACTCGCCAAAAGAAAACACGCTCATTGTCTTTCCTTCCCGTCTGTGATAAGCCCTAGTAGAGGTGGGGTTGGTGGACAATTCCAACACATCCAAGAGAAAAAGTCAAAAATGGATGATTAAATGGGATTCTCAACCACAGCGTTCGGTTGGAATGCCACAGTAGTGGTCACTTTAGTGGTCATTTCAGTAATATGGGTGAACATATTATAGTACAGCTGTAGTATCCTTTCGGTGCTTAGCTGCCAAGCGACCGGAAGGAAGCACGCGAGCTGAGATCACCCAAACCTAGAAATCAGCAGAGGAAATCCATAGATTAGTCTCTAACTGTGGACCTTCCGGTCAGTAGGTCACCCCTATCCACTGAGCCATCTCATCTTAGTTCAATGAGATAAAGCAGTGCACTTGTTCGACTCCGAAACGGAAGGAGCGAAATAAGTCGCAATTTGAGGGTAGTAGTTCCTGATCAATATTAAGCGTCCTGTATGAAGCGCAAGGATAAAGGGACGGATCATTTGATGCGATTTCTTTCGTTGAAATTTGTTACCTCAGATCCGTGGTTCAGCCTTACCTAACCTCACAAGAGTTCAAACACTTTCGTTATACTTCGTGAAAAGACTACTCCTAGAAACTGGTGTTTCCAGGATTCCCAGTAAAAAGCACTGATTCAGCTGAACAAAACTAAACTATCGAATCCGTTCCATTTCATGGAACACATTGCAGCATGGAAGAGAATATATTAACATTTTCGTCTATCCAAACAATTTGTAGCTATTCAAAAAAACGTTAAACTTGTGAGACATAGTTTGCCTAACCACCAGCCTTAAATTTCATTGGAAGACAAGTACAAGCAAAGCTGTTACACCTTGTGGTCTGTACTTACTTAGAGAGCTTGACAGGCCTCCGGTAACCAACGCCTTGCAAAGGTTCCTTTGAGTGTTGAGGTGTTCTACACCCCACTGGGGTATGGTCGGCACCGTGATCGACATCACGGGCAGTAGTGATCAATCAGCATACTTCAAATGGGTGATACCACTTGACTTAAGAACTATTCAGGCTATGACGTAAGTCAACTATGCGACAGCATCATATAACCAATTCGCATATCACTGATAAATCTAGCTGATGAATTGAACTATTCGCTTTAGATAGAAGTGCACCAAGCATATCGAGGTCACAAATCACCGGAGTGAAAAATAAAAAAAGTCTCACATCTGTGCTTGTCATCAAGTAGACCAGAACCCAAGACAATGACGAACTTCACCATGCGACAAATATACGGGCGCGGAATAAACCAGAAGCGCCGGTGGTCACTGAACATCCGGTAGCTAACAATGGATGGTGTGACGGAATCGCTGCGTTCATGAGTTCACAAGACAGGCGAAGGCTGTCACGGTATTTCATCTCAGTTCCTTCGGCGTTTGTCAGCGGATGAACAAACGATCTAAACGTACAGCTGGTGGTCAGTTTTTACCATTTTGTAGATGAAAAATGAATTATTTAGAGTTAGGGGTTGAGCCTAAGCTATTTTGATAGTGAGTATAAGTCAGTGTTGAATTTCCCAAAATGAACCTCAGCGCTGAACTCACCAATGAGGAGAACGTATGAATGTAAAAAAGGGCTCCCAAATTCATTGATTCCATACCAAATATTTGATGATTTTGATAATATTCCACAGAACTCTAAAGTTTTACAGTCTGATGCAATGCACTATGGAGAACCACGAATGGTTAAAGTACGTGGTGGTAACGCTGATCGTTCGAACTCTGCACTAAATTGTGGGGTTATATATAAATTGAGTATACTAGCATATGTGGATGTGTATCTGCAAAAACTCGAAACAAAGGGCAACTTCTCATGTAAAAAAATCTGATTCCCCAACATGGATACTCCCCACCGGAAGAACAAATGTCGTCATCAATTTTGAGACAAAAGCCTTTCCCCGAAATTTCCTGCCCTGTTGTCTCCCGTCACTCTATCTTTTGGTAGAATCAAATTTTTCACAGAATTTTGTGATTTGGTGAGACTACACTGAGAAGATCAATTAAACACAGAGATACGTCAATAAACGATTCGCTGGAAAGCACAGCTACTGGAATTACCACAATATGCGGGTCACAAGAACAGTTCGTATGTGCGTACGTGTCAACTTTTTCATGCGTGATCGATGAACTACCAAGCAACCAAGAGATGGCACCAGTTATAACAAACGTTACGAACGTCTGAACTTCACTGGAAATAGCAGAGGAACAATGCTGAGGTATACAGCACCTGAGTGCGCCAATCATCGGAATGGGAGTGATCCAGACAATTAAGTTTGCAATCTATGGAATATACTCACCTGTAAATTACTCTGGTGTGACGGAAAACTTGACCGAATGCCCACTTATAATGTTCTGAATCTGAATTCGCTGCACAAATACCGCCTTAAGTTTCGCTTGGTACGATAATCGAGATGTGGAAGAAAACCTTCTCGTCAAAATACACTACACGTAAGACTGCTGAAAACTATTCGATAGGTCACTGCTATTGTTGCCCTTCTTGTGGCTCCGCAGGTAGGCACATACCTCGAGTTTCCTGAACACAACCCGGTGTTGTGTGCTGGTAGAAACCCGGGAACTGTACCTATTTGATGAGCGTCATTATGGACGAAACCAGTAGTGGGCTGTCTGAGGGTTTTCCTCAACCGTATAACTAGTATCCTGTCAAGCTGAGCTTACACCTCCTATACTGAAAATGTAGGGCTTGCTCTAATGTCCTAGAATATATTAGTTGGAGTGATATAAGTACCGTTCGTTATTTGTTTTACCGATGAATCCTATGGTGCACGTCGTTCAATTTCTGGGCAATAGACAAAGGTTACTGGAATAGTGGTTGGTGGCTGATCATCTGAACCCGTGTACATATGGACTGAACAAAACGGAGGTGGCCAGTTCAAGCCCATTGAAAGCCTGATCGTGATAGCCGTCAGTTCACCCTTTGCACTATACAATGCTACACACACGAGACTATCACGAGTTTCAACAAGACTTAGAATGATGACTTATTAATTTTTAACAGTGCTGCGAATCATAAAAAACGCTACTTCGCAACAGCTCCAACATCTAAACAGTTCATCTATAAAACAGAATCAATCGGGAAATCAACCATTGCCCTCCTGCTAACCAACTGGATACGGGAGCAAAACAGAAACAAAATAAGTAAGGCCGAGGATAGGGAGGAACCTGAGGTAAACCTATCGTTCTCCTATCAGCAGCTGCAACAGCTATCGGCATAACGTTCAAGATTTACTCCGACAAGTTGTGAAGTACAGTCATTTGCACATCAAACTGGTTTTAACTGAAACTCTACTGAATGGCGGCAGAACCCCCATCTCAAGAGATACTTCCAGACAAACCAGTACGGACTGGTAAACGATACTTGATACATGTGGGATACACCAAAGTGTTTCCAAGACCAAAAAATGGAGGGCTGTTTCCAACGTGAAGCTGGTTGTACAGGCCATTAAAAGTTAACAAGAAATGATAAATAATGGTGTGTGAGCCGCATACGAAACCTCATCACCAAACACAGCAGTAGAAGTGAAGCGATCACATTCACATGGATCATGAATATACGACCAATAACAATGATGGCACTTCCACATTTTCAATCACGGTACGTGCGATTACGTAGGCCAGTAGATTTATCACGGGGACAGGCACGGAACAATAGGAATCACTGCTATGTTGTGACGCTGTTGTTCAACCGCGAGCACGGATTTGTTTGGTGTCATTTGTTGAAGGCGTTCACACGCATTTACAGGCCTAAATAGACTACCGTAGTTTGTTAGCATGATATCCGCCCGATTGCGCAGTTATATCCCAATTTTGAACTACTCAACAAAGTAGAGTAGTTTGAAAAAAACGCGCAGACCAGGGAAAAAAGGCGTTGTAACGGCTGCGGAGGGACGGAGATTCTGATAAGCGTTCATAGACATTACCCCATAAACTGCACGACTAAGTCATTTGGCATTTAGCGTTACTAGGGACAAGTGAATAGTACTGAGAGTGGTGAGGGTACGGGGCAAGTGGACAAGAGACTGTGACGTTTTGAAATGGTACTCCGACCTCCACACACGCTTGATAGGCAGATACAGTATCGCGGGGATTCAAACCCATTGTTTGCACAATCGCAGACCCAACCGGGGTAAGTTCACGTAAGATCCTCAGTAGTTTTTCAAATGCTGCATTCGGAGCTATCCACTTATGTAAAACTTCATGCATTTAGGTGAGATCCAGCGATTCAGGACATTTCAGATAATCCCCTTTAAAGCTGTCCGGCCCGGACAGCTGACATTTCACTGAAATTGATTGACACATATTGTTTCATAGCTTATTCGAAAAGTCGAAAAATACATGTTCTGCACGTGATCCTCGGCAAGACAGTCCAGAACTTTTACAAAAGCTGTCACGATCATGCTACGCCAAAATGTCGCGCTCCAACAAGTATGAAAAGCGACGTATGGCTGAGGTTTCCGGGATTCGACGACAGCCCCCAAATACTGATAATCATTGAACATCTTTGGTGCACATGTTGTTCCACTTCAGGGACAAGATGAAGTCTGGCAGAAACATGAGGGTGCGAGTTTGAATCCATGAAATTACCCCCAAGGAGGAAAACACAATCGACTGCGAACCACTAGTGTGGACTACTCCAGCAGTGGACTCCAGTATGAAATCCAGCTTCCAGGAAGACAAGTGAATCTTCCATTCGGCATTCGACTGCGCAAAGTAGATTTCAAGCATGTCATCAAACTTCTTGAACCCAATTTGAAAGGTTCTTCCAGGTTGAGCATCGAAATGAATTCATAAATTGCCTACATGTTTTTGTCGGAGGCATACTGCGCAGCAGCGCTTAATTAAGCCTCATTTGAGCTTCTCTAAACTGTTCCCGTTGTTATTCTGTGAATGGCTTCGTGGGCTCCAGTTGTCATCAGATGCAGTGGTTCTAGAACTTGGTATTCGGTTTGCTGTTCCGGCCACTACGGTATGTCAAAATTCATAATAATTTGAGACAGCTATTACAAAACCACAGAGGACTGCCATTTCAGAGATAGTAGAATCACCCATCACGCTGTGATCTTCGTAATACGGAAGGCACCGAGCTGAAGATGTTCTATTTTGATTGGCTCATACTCTGACCAAGTGGTCCATAGGCGGTTCATGATACACCCATCCAACCCGATGTGACATTCGTCCATTTCGAACGAACTGCCACTGTACAACGTTAAGGAAAAGTTCCAGCCACTGCTATCTGGCTCATATCTAACTCAAGAATATCTGATGCAACAGTGAGGTGGCAATATTCGTGTCCTCAAAGCTCCCCTTCAAAACTGCTGTCAGACTGTAGTTAGCCTAGATATCTGAAAAAGAACAATGGGAGCCAGGTTGAGTCACTGAGAACAAGGACTAAATAAGTTAGCTACATATTGATTCACACAGTCACCGATCCGAAACTCACCCACAAATCAGTCAGCAAATCGGTCGATAGCTAGAAACACTCTACTTCACTTCTTCTGGAGAGCCGCAGGGTGATGCAGGCACACAGAGCTGTCTGTGCTGCTTGTGAAAATTTTCTTACAGGCAATTAGTTTGTATCGGGTATGTGTGAAGCACATGACCGTGGATACACAGTGTTTATTATACACCGTTTTTGCTGGATCCAGGTACCCATAGATCACAGTTCTGAAATCAACTTCGAATTGAACAAACCCTTTTGTGCTGAACAGTGCTCAAGTCGGTTAGACATACACTGATTCTACCAGCACATCAAAAGATAGACTGAGATACGCAAAACGATTGGCAAAGAACTGTTTTGCAGTTTGATGTGCGGTTTCACGCGCGCCTCTTTACATTCGCGATGGTTACCATATGCTGATAGGACAAGTTAGGTGCCAGAAAAAACGCAAATGATGTGACCTAAATGACCTAATCACATACAGGGCACGAGATGGGGCGAGATGGCCCAAGTGGTTAGAGCGCAAATTTACTGACCGGAAGGTCCGTGGTTCGAATCACCTCCGCCACCCAATTCCCCTGTCTAGGCTTGGGCAACGCAGAGCTCAGATATTTTGGGTTTGATGCCAAAAGAAAAGCGATATGGTGGAAATTCCAACGGAAATGTTAAAGAAGGGCCAGAAGTGTCAGAAGGTGATGGTACCGTTACTGCACATGCCAGATAGCCTTCGGGTTTAAAAAAAAGTAACAAGAGGTAGGTCAGAGCCACCGTGAAACTGCTACCGTTTCTTCAAGGCCAATGATTTTCGAGGAGTTACACGGCTCAAGATTATTTGACAACACTCCCATCAAGTTAGGTTAGTTTTACATAATTCTGTGGCTTACCTTCGTCGCATATGCAAGTGTGCAGGCCAAGACGTTCGCATTGTGTCCGACATTTACCTTGAATGCACTGACCGTGTTCCGCACAAGGTACGCCAGATAAACGAGTGGGACCAGGACAGCTAGCTGATTTACCATCACAAGTGCCAGGCGAAAGGCATGGATTGCCTGAGTTCCGTTCCGAACACTGAGTCGACGGAGGGGCAACCTGACAGGCTGGAGCAGGGTAAAGTACCAGTAAATCGACTGTTCATGTGCAAGTGTGCAGTAAGTAGTCTGTGCAGTGAAAGGTTAAAAACAGAGTACTGTAGCTTGTCTTACACGTTTCAAGGATGCAGATTATTAGATGAAAATCCAGCATCCGTCGGATACCCTATGGAATCTAACAATGCAGTTCTGCAGCCGACTCATCATTCCGAGTGAACTGACGAACCTTGTCCCCCTTGGGAACAGCTTCATCAAATGAACTTTACGGTTCACCAATGCTCGACTCATGAACGAATGGTGACAAGCTTCCCTGCTCATGGTTGGAACTTCGTAGTGTTCACGGTTCTACATGCATTCTTTCACGGAAGAAAAAACAGGGTTAAACCACCAGCTGAGACGTCTCCGAGGTATGCCAAATCGAGAAGGTTATGATTTTATTGAAATCTCACCCCCAACTATACCGGAGAGCATGCTTGAACATGGGAGCCATGTAGACTAAATGTTAACGATGGAAGAAACAGTTCACACCTGTTGCAACTGAATGCTTGTGTAAATGTGATTGGAAACTCACCGGAAGTACAACAATCGTGATTCCAAGGAGAACACTGGGCTCCATGACGTAGCTTGCAATTGTCAGTGCAACAAACATCATCATGTACAACACCGGCATCACACTCCTCGCCAGGATCGAGTCGTCTATTTCCACACAATCGAACGGTGCTTTCTGAGGTGGCGACGAAACAAAGTGGTGCACGAGCCGCGAGGGTGGCGCCAATTGTACGCCGACTGCATGGCGAGAACCGCTATTCCAAATAGGATACGTAGGGTGATTACTATCCCGACAAAGCAGCATTGACAGACAGGTCACAGAATTATCATCGTTCTGAGGACAAGCATATCTCCCAACCAGAGGTAAACTGCCCCGATGCTGTAACGCTAGACAGCAATCCAAACAAACAACGTATTCCGGCTGACGGACCGTAATACGACTTCGCGTAATACGAGAATGTGGAGCAACAGATGCTGTGTATAATTAACTTTTGAACCATAACGCATTCCTGTTAGTTCACAGAGCACGATATAACCATCTAGGAAAATATCCGTTGGAAAATCGCCCATAGTGGTCTTCCCAGAAGAGCCAACCGAACGGAAGCTATCTGTCTGGAGAGTCTACGACAGCGTCCCACGTCAGACAGAACCTCATGTGCGATCCCTGCGTCGGGTAAGTCAAACGTCACAAAACACTGGATATCTCCATTATCCGCTATGTTCACTTTTGAATAGCTTACTATCCGTTGCATTCAATGAACACCGGGTTTTTGTTTCTTTATTGAGAACCAGAATTAAGCCGTAAGCAAGACAAGTCAAATCCAACCGTAGCGTGCAAACGGTAAATTCGAAGCTATCAAGGCCCATAGGAATCTCGTGTTCAATCCCTCCCTAGAACATAAACGAAAATGTGTCTGGCACCTTTTCGATGCAACTCGAGGAAGGCACAAGGATGGAGACCGCCAAGTTGCTGTACCCTAAACATGAGCAGTCAAAAAGCTATGGTTGAGTTCGAACCTTCGGACTTTCCAGTTCGCAGTTTCGCGCCTTAACCACTGAGCTATCTCGAGCTCGACTCAACTTTCGAACCTTTCCAAAACGTTTTCACGTAGACATCTAGTTGTCTGTTTCTGGCGCCTTTCTGACTGGGTATCACTATAGCAACAGAACCGACTTTCGCTGACCAAAAAGCTAACTATATCGCATCTCAAGGTTCCCCCATCAATGGCCAAGAAAGGTGTTGGTAGCGGCAGTGGCTAAAATATGGCAGATTTTAAGAATTAAAAATCAAAGAACATTGGGTGAACAGAACTCACGTAATTATTCACCGCAAACCCAGCAACTGAATGTGCATACATCAGGTATTTCCCACGGCTATGTGCTGGAGGACTGCATTCTTCGGTGTCAGGATCGTGAGCTGCACCCCAGTTGTGTCCCAATTCGTGAGCGGTAATCAATTCAGCCATCGCATTAAGTAATCGCCGACCACTGTAGTCAGCATAAGTTGTCCACCCAGTGTTCATTTTGAACTCTTCGCCACGTTCCGTTCCTAATCGAGGAAGGAAACGGAAAGCATTAAAGCAGGATGGTCCAAGTATGAAGCACACTAGAGACAGAATTCTAGCAGGTTTCGGTCAATAAACTTACCAAAAAGTGTCACAACTTCAACCAATATAAAGTGCAATTTGTACATAAGTTTCACAAACAAATACATGCCCTGCGGCCTGTATACATAGGAGCTATCTAGGTACTATATTTTATTACTTTCAAACTATGATGCCAAGCAAGAGCCACTGCTTTCATTTGCATGTTTCCAAAAAGGTCAGTGACCGTAGAACGTAGGCAATGGAAGGTGTTTATACTCTTAATGATGCGTTTTAGTTACGGCTATCAGTCTCTACCCGAATTGTGTTCATATCATCAGTACTTACCAAGTACTGCTGAGTTCCTTGCAGAAGACTGGCTAATACCCAGATAGATAAGAAGATATCAATAGCAATCCAGGTGCTGAGGTTTAAAACACTGATAAGCTTACGCCATAACCCCTAGGGACAAGCAGTCAGAGTTGTCTCCAAATCAGGGTTTCCTATAGAGATCTGCAACTGTAGAAGTGGCTACAGAGCAAAACCGAGCTGTATAAGACAATGAAGCACGTGATTAAGAGAGCGCAACTTATGGAATATCACAAAATCGTCATCGTGTTGGAGTTATTTCCTCCGTACACCATTCGGCACACTTCGGTACCACTGATCCGATGTTCCCACAGGACTCAGACGATGCTAAGAAATCATGCTAAAAAGGCATCAATAGGTACCAAGGTTTTTCAAGCCCACATAAATATCTGGTACGTAGCGCAGAACTGACAGGTTTACGCGAAAGATGTTGTAGGTCGGTAAAATCTTTTCTAATTTTCGGTATCCGGATGGCAATATTACTTCCAACCAGACCACCGGGACCGACACAGCTGCCAAGATACACAAATCTGTCTACAGTTTTGGTCGACACACCTCCAGACATGATCCTACCACATTCCGCAGCAGTATTTTATGCTTTGCAGGTATGAAACGCATACTAAGACGCGAGACAGAATTATTTAGTTTATTTGATATTTCGAGCGGGTCAGATCCGATGGGAAAAACCTCGTAAATGCACTCTGTGAACGGGCGCTTCGGCCTCACATTCGTTGCAAGCTAGAAGCGAGTCTTCCATGATCATATACATGACAAGATTGAAGAGAAAATAAAACAGATGACAATCTCGTCTGACGTCAGTGGGAGTAGTGAACTCAAGGGAAAGTTTACCATGGACTCTACGAATGTTGGCGTACGGCGTTTTAAGGAAGGCCAAGAGTTTAGCTTCAAGGACACTGCCGTAGTGGTCAGGAGCAGAAGCGATGAACAGAAGCAAAGACAGGTTACGATTCAAAGACGAATAGTGTTGGTTTCTGGGAAGCACCGATGCTTAGGAACCCATTTTGTAAGTATGTACTTTCTTGCAGGACGGAGCCCAGCTTGGTTGTCACGGATCTACTCCTCCCTATGTCCAGTTAACGAGCATAGGATAAAAGCAAAATGTGCATTGAATGTCACAGATACCAAGATAATACAAAGACAGTTTTCACACAGTAGTGGAGTACAAAGAGTGAAGTAGTTATTGAAGCGTCCCACTTTGTGCGTATTTTCCTTCAATCCAGTGACAATGACCTATGTTAGGCGGTATATCAGAGTTTACCCGCCTTCTCTAAAGAAAGACGGATATAAAGAATACAAACCTGGCACATATTCGCGCTTCAAAGGGACTTTTGAACGTCGTTTCTTCTTCTGATGGGCACTTATGGTTTACACTCCGTTCAACCATAAGTGCTTTCTCTGGTGGACTTGTTGCAAGAGGGTGGATAAACTGCTCTTCAAAGCCCATCATGTTTCCAGGCGGTGCTGTTGCAAACGAATCAGTGAACCGCCTTTTTGCTTATCGTTCAGCCGACAGTTTATTTTATTTGACTGGCCGACTGCACCAAGTGATAGAGACGACGAGTGTCTTCGGTGAAGATGTTTTCCATCGCCTAAAAATTCACTTTACAAAAGGGCTGTGGCTCCCGGACATTTAATCTTTTAAGGATGTGAGTGCACTGTTTAACTCGTTGCCTGCTGGTATGGAGTTTCTGACATCAATCACAGTCACTGATCTCGACGATACAAGGCGGCCATTTGTTCACATCGGATAAAACAGGCATACAGCTTTGAACGCCACTGGTATATCTCCTTTTACATTTTGCAACACACCCATACGTTGTTCAATACAGAGTATTGGAGCTAGCTCAGATCGATACGACATGGATATGATAGTTTTCCTAGGATGATGCATTCAAAAACCACTTGACGACTTGCAACAGTCTGGGGGAAGCGAATTTTCAGATATGCACGCACTACAGCATGACCGAAATCAAGTTGCTTGCTCCAAAAGGACCATCAACCTCGAATGATGGCTGGTAGCCACATAATATCGCTGGATTTGTTGTTGACTGCTAGACTACAAGGTGAGGGTGTTGTGCTGGCAATGCTCATCATGATCATCACCAGAGACGACACTGACGCATCACTGCAGTAGAACCACGAAGTTTATTTAATTGTGCTTAGAGCCGTAAAGTGAAAAGAGAGGGAAAGGCCTGGTGTCGATTTATCACAAGCATTCTGAGGCACTTACACCTCCAAGCGCTCAATCACACAAGCTGGGAAGAAACTGACAGCACGAACGCTACTGACATTTCTTACAAAATCTCCAGCTGAGCTGGAGGTCTCGGGGAGACAACCTTTGAAGGCAGACGTCACAAAACACCTAAACGCTTCGTAGTCTTGAAATCTTTCTGGCTATGTACACCTTGTCCATCTTGCTTTTTGCATCACTCGGAAGTAGGCACGTCATAGTAGACGAGTAACTGACAGAAAATTGGAAGACCTGAATAGCAGGTCCATTTACTGCTGAACGCCAACTTATCCAAAAGACTAGTGCATACGACAGATAAATTAATATTCTAATTCACAGGATTTGATGCCACAGTGGCCTGCAGAACTCGGTGAAGCAAAAACAGCACAAGAGTTGACGTACATACCTGAAGGTGAACAAATGCCACCCAGTTCTGGAGCTGCTGTCCAGGCTCTTCCCAGAACTCCCATGAAAGGTCGATAAGTAAGCAGATGAGCACAGCACAAGAACGTACATACCTGAAGGTGAACAAATGCCACCCAGTTCTGGAGCTGCTGTCCAGGCTCTTCCCAGAACTCCCATGAAAGGAAGGTAAGTAAGCAGATGAGCAAGGCACGTCCTGTTAAACTGGGCGTAACTGAAAGCCTATAGTAAAAAAATGCAAACCAAATAGGTCAGTTCTACGAAGAAACTGCAGCAACAAAGAAGTCCAGTACCCAGTGCAAGAATAATTGTCAGAGAAAATCCAAAAACATCCCTTATGATTTAACCTGATTAGCAAGTTTACCTGATTTGGGGCTTCAGTCAATGATTATGTCCGTTCAGATCACCATTCAGTAAGAGTTTACTCTTTTAAATAGAAATAAAAGGCACGCCGTTCTAAATCATCACTCTAGATAGGTAACAGAACAACCATATACATATATATATATATATATATATATTTGGAAAATTAGTTTAGAGGTGATGTATACCGGAAGAATCTGCCACGGTTTGATATCAAAAGTGAGATAATGTTTGTTGTGATTATACTAATTTGCAAGATAATATGGGCATTTGGGTCAAATTCATCTGACTCCCTTGTTTATGGTATCCTTCGATTAAAGCACCTGATCGGCATGCACAAAGCCCTAGCGTTCTCCTACACTTATCGTCGCCCTCTTTTAAGTTGTCTCGTACACTAATGTAATGCCGAAAGCGTTACTAGTTATGTCACCATTTTGCGAAAAGTGTAATTCGTCACCAAGAGACAGACGTTCTTACTGTTTTACTGCTCGGCTGGTAAAATTTTTGGCAAAGATTCGGTATTCTGGTACCAATAATTCTAGCGAGCACAGACAAAAAGTAAATGAGCACATTTGGTGCGTACGCACTGGACCACAACAACTAAACAAGAACTCGTTCATGGGGCACGCGCCATAACCATCAAAATAGGAGTAAAAGACTTGCCGTTGAAAGGGAACGTGGAGTCCAAGGCTTCCCGTTTACGTCACTCCGGGCATTGTAATGTCCTAACTCATTGTTCCAAGACTCGTGTATGATGATCTATCAAAAAAATGATGGGACGTGGTAACATGACTATCATCTGGGAGAAGTTCAACAAAAACTTGCGTAAAAGCACCATAAATAATGCGTATAGAGGGCACACGAGCTTCAAAACACCTTGAAGGGGGTTTTCTAATGAACAGCCGTTGATTTTCGGCAACTAAGGATATCATCCCTGGAAAATTTTCATCGAATCAAGATATGGAAATTATCATGCCATGAACTTGGCAGCTGAGCGGACGTTAATTAGCAAACATAAGGTTGGATACCAAAAAATCCTACTTCCAGTTGACCACTGCCAACTAATAAAGAACCTCGAGGCCAACAGTTCCATATTGAATAGGCTATCGTGAGATCCGTAAAAGATTAGCAACAATAATCAGGCCACTTATCAGTGGTCACACGCACAACAGATTCGACTCATTGGCAAAATCCAAGAAGGATAGTCAAGTTTTCCACTATCAGCAAAATTTTAAAAAGGCTTCTATATGGCAACAAGTCACCAGCCTTATCGTCATCATCATCATTGTCGGCTGAATGAACCGCGTGCTTGTCGTACAGCGGCTGTAGCTGCCACAGTTTCGTTCACCGATGATTTGTGGAGGTGGGGTAGACAGCCGCGCATTGAAGGCGGGAGCTGATAAATTAGTGAGTAAATACAGCACTGTTAAGTAGAGGGAGTTGGGAAGGGAGTTATGCATTGAAGGCAACAACTTGGATGCATGAGTGCCATTGAGGGCGCGACTGGGCCATGTCTGACTAGGTCTCTAACCACTGATGTGGCCCGTCTCGGGGTCCCCAGACATTAGAGGCTGATAGTGAGCCTTCCATGGTCGTATCAATGACAAAGTTGAAGAGGAAAGGTGAAAGAGGACAGCCCTGTCGGACACCACTTGATGTGGTGAACTCAGGAGAAAGCTTCCCGTAGACCTTTACACGGCCGCGGGAGTTGGCGTACAGCGCCTTAATGAGGGTCAAGAATTTATGGGGGACACATTCGCTCCACAGACACTGCCATAGTGCTTGGCGGTCCACAGAGTC